TAGATAATCAGCTACGCATCCACCCCAGCTAAGCATTGGCACGGCTTCACATCCATAACTATATTCGGATATATCATTATTAAAAAATAACATTTAATAAATTTAAAATTTAAATATTAGCATTTTTTATTTTTTAAATTTTGAATTCTTTTGTAAAAAAATTAGAAACAAATATAAACTTGTTCATTAAATGATCAAATGTAAGCTCAAGCCCCAATCCGAAAAGATCCTCAAAAACTTTTCTTATTATTTTAAAATAATACTATGTTAAATACTCTTGAATTTGGGTCATATTCCTCCGAATTTTTCTTACTTACTCAGTACATTGAAGAGAGAGAACTTCCTCGGCCAAGCCAATGGTCCAAAGTTTTTTGGATTTGCGTTACTAAGGCCCAACCCAGAGTATATGAGCACTGGACAATCTTTAAAGTTAAACATGCCGAAGCAAAGAGGTTTTATTTATAGTGCCATTCCACCAAACGGTTTTTCAGACAAACGGCAAAAGCAAACTGAGACAAAGCAAGCAATCACATCAAACATATATATAGTATGTTTTTTTTAAAGCCCTACTCGAATCTCCATCAATCCTGGAAAAGCGTAGTAAGTTTTTTTTATTTATCGAACTCTCGAATAGGGTTATTTATCTTTGCTTCAAAGCAAATCGAGCTCCTCCATCAGCAACATCTCCGTTGCCCGCATTCTCACAATGCCTTTGATTCCACTAATCAGCTCACCCCTCAGCTCATTCCTTCTCATTTTCAGCAACCTATATTCTGTTTCAGTTTCTGCTGCATCTTTTATGGTTGCCTTAAGTGACTCAACCATGACCCTTTTCTCCTGTATCTCATTTTCCAATCCAGTTTTCATCATCTTAACCTGAAGAATTTCTTTCGCTTTCTGCTTGGGCAGACAAAAAGAATGTTCCAAACCATAAAATAAATAAATATATATATTGTTATCAATAATTAATCACACCATATATACCTGGATGCTTGATTTGTACAGTTTTTTTCGAACAACTGATCTGCTGCTTTTCCCTTTTCCTTTTAAGTGAGACAGAAGAAAGAATAGCTAGAGTGAAGACTTTATTTCAAATTCTATTGAAAGATAATATCAATAATTAAATAAAAAATAAAAATAATTAGATTCTTTCTAAAAAAACCTAGAATGCCATTATTTTTTACTATATATTTTATATTTATGAAAAAAATTATAATAATTTTATATTTTGATGTTAAAATTAAATCTATGACACATAGAATTCAAGATTCAAATTTCAATAAATCTAATCGCGATAATGAGGCTTAGTAAGGTTAAGAGTCAACTAAAACATGGACTAAAAGAAGAAAAAGATTAAAACATGCTGCAAATTTGGGGAAAAAAAAAAAGATGAACAATAAATAAGCACCAACTTGAGTGCAAAAATAAGGAATGGATTCGTACAAAAGGTTAGGACCTTGAAGAAAGTAAACAAGGTTGGTAAAAAAAAAAAATAGAACAATTGAAAATGGAAACAATATGTTTTCCTAGTTTATAAAAAAAAATGGATTTCATGTTGAAAGGAAAGCAACCTAACAAAGAGAAACTGATACAGAGGGGAAGCCAAGACAGAAAACAAAGACATGAAACAAGGTGTATGAAGTAAAGTACTTTTTTGCTCAATAAAAATTAAAGAAATAATTAAAATTTTTAGAAGAATATTCCTTAATATAAATATATAATACATTATATATATATATGAGCTAAGAAAAATTAACGCAAAATTATATAATGTTTTTCTGAACATAGACTTTATGATTTTAATTCTTTATAGCTAGTTGCCTCCTATATATTTAAACTTCCAATTTATTACCTAATTCCTTTTTAGAAAATACACAATTTAAAAGTTTACTAATTACATTATTAAATAGTTAGAGTTTTACCCTTTTGATGTTAACATTGTAAATTATCTATCTATATATTATAAAATATATGTAGATAAAATTTGCTTTTTTGTTGAATATTACAGTGTATATATATATATATATATATATAATGAGAATAAATGAATTACATAAAGAGAAATTTGATGAAAAGTAATAAATTAACATAAGTATTTAAGAAACTTTTTAAAAAATATAGTTTATAAAAGTTGAATGCTAAAATTGCCATCATCAATCGTCTTCTTAATCTCAAAACTGATTTTGAAAAATAATATCCTTTCTTCATATATTTAGAAAAGCAAACTATTTTGTTGATTCCCTTTCTAAGCAAATATATTCGAATCACGAGTTGGTCACTTGGCTTTAATTGTACACTTGTCTTCTTTATAAAATTAAGGAGGCCAAAAAAGGATAAACAAGTAATGTGCAAAAACCTTCTATTAGCAAAAGGGAGCTTTTGCAAATCCGTCCTTGGATAAGACACAAAAAATGTCATAATTACTTATCGATTGACTTTTTGTCTGTTAAATATTTTAAACTTTGAATTTTTTATATTTACAATTTATAAAATGTGAAAAAAATATTTTCTAAAAACTTTAAGTGAAAATTTTTTTTTAGATATATACTTTGCAAAATTTAATTAATGAAAATATTTAAAATAATAAAAGTTAAAATTGAAAATTTTTAATGAAAACAAGGTCAACAACTGACAATTTTATTAGGACAGAATGTGTATTATATATATTTATATTTATATATATATATATATATATTTAGGGTAGAACTAAAACACCAAAATTGAGATAAGAGAAGGATTAAATTCAAACTTTAACCTCAAATAATGTAATACATTCTCTTCTCAAATTCTTTCATAGTATTTGGATCGATATTTACTTCATTACAACACTTAATTATTGTTTTAATTATTAAATATAAAATATATATATTCACATAAGAAAAGGGTTTTTCATGCATAATAATAGAGAACCTTTTGTTTTTTTTTTTTTTTATATCCCAGAGGTAGACTTTGCATACTCACCGAAACTTGTCATGAAACCGAGCAAGGACAAGGATTTTTTCTTGCCAAGTTTCTCGTATGACCTGCAGGTAGATTAATGGAGTGTCAGATATTCAAATATATATACATATATAGTAGAATTTAAAAGGAAATTTGGTTTAATAATTTCTATTTAATTTTAATTACTCTCTTTTTAGTTAGTATAATAACAAAATAGTAGTTAGTTAACATCTTCTTTCTAATGCAAATGAACTGATAAGCTATTTGCATTGTTGGGTTTTCTTCCATTCAAGTTTTTATTCCCGAATTACATTAACCATAACCGCTTAAGCATGGCCGGACTCCTGTGATATTCAGGTTTCGTAGCAAAAGAACATCCATCTGTCCTCCGCACAATTACCTTTTCCCTTCTTTGCCCCTTTCTTCAATCATCCTCCAATTGCATCTTTGCTGGGAAAAGGCCCTAAACGATATTGTGAAAGGATTATGATCCATGGAAATAGGCCCAACCAACAGGAATAGAAAACAAATCAAAACAATAAGATTAACAGAGAATATAAAATATTATTAGAAGGATGAAACAATAATACCTTTTGATTTTTGCAATAATTACCGGTGCAGATTGCCTCGTCTTCCTAATAGCATGCTGCTTGCATGTTTGGTGGACCAATATTCATTCCTAGAGCTTGTTTTGTTGTTGCCGCGTTTTTGGGCTCGAGTTCATGTATATATAGAGTCAGATCGCGTGGGCTTCCAAGGTTCATTTACCTTAGCCTTTGAAATGATGTTTAATTTATTCCCATCCTTGGGACTTCCGATTGTTTCTTTTTTCACTCCTTCCATTGCATAAAAGTTTTCATTGGTTAATTTTTAATGGTTAACTATTTTCAAGTTTGATTTAAAATTACTTTAAATGTTTTTAGTGAATTAAAATTTTATATATAAATTACTTCATTAAAAGTTTCCATTTTTTTTTTTTTTTTTGCATTTTAATTGGTACTAAATTGAAACTAAAATGAGGTTGAATTTAAAAAATTTTGATAATGAAGATTTAAATAGTGTCAAAAAAACCTTTTCTGAAATAAAGAGAAATTTTTTTTTTTTAAACCCGACTAATGAATTAGTAGTGAAATGCATGCACTAATCGTTGAATCAAAAGCTCATTTACTTTCGGTTATTTTATTTAAATCTCAAATCTCATCAATGCTAACAATTTAATTAATCCTTCTGCTTTTTTTTTTATTTTGAATAAATGGAAAATGCATTGCTTATGTAAATAACTATCTTTTTGAAATTAGAATATTTTCAATTATTTCTAATAGCTATTTAATAGTAACAAGTAAAAGAAGTTTGAATGTAAATAAAATAAGTAAAACTTTGAAGACTTACAATGTATAGAAAGATGAGAAAAGTAAGCAAAAAATTTTAGCAAGTTGCTAGTGCTCGACTTTAATTGGATTGGCTTAACTTGAGTTAGTTATGTAAACGACTGAAACTCGACCTAAGTTTAAATTTAGAGTCAAGTCCAAATCAAACAATTTTTGATTGAAAATGGCTTCACCTAAACTTGGCAATGGCTTGATCAAACAATGTATGATCTATATTTTATAATGAACTTCTATTAAAATGAATTTGCAGTAAGCGGAGAAGCTACTCTTATTAAACCCTTAAATAATTATAAACATTTCATTAACAACATTTTTTCATGATGAAAGTCATATTTTAAAAGTGAATTAATATTTAATACATTTTTAGGATATAAATATATACATTTAAGTAAATCATGAATCATAAAATAATAAACATTTTAAAAATACTTCGAATGATGAGGTGACAAATTGTGGTTCATGTGATCTATGAACACTCAGAATTGCCAACCCCTTTATTCATTGATAATATTAATAATAATGTAGATATTATCAAATATAAATTTTTAAAAATAGTAAAATGTAAATTCTTAAACAATTAATATTAAAAAAATCATCATCATATTGCAAAAGAGAGTTACAAATATTGTAATAAAGTGGGTAGGCCAAAAGTAGAAAAATAAAATTTAATTGAAAATTTCAAAAATGGGCTCTATTCCCCTTCTTTTTTAGAGTAAATTGTCTTGTCTGTTTTAGAGTAAATTACCCTGTTTTCACTTAAATTTTCCAGATTTGTTCTTTTTATAAAAATATTTCATGATCAATAAATCTTTTTAGCCACTCAATGATAAAAGTAATTAACCCTTTCAAGTGACATTCTACATTGTCACTATACTTTCTTTTCCAATACAAAAAAAGTCGTACGTGTATATAAGAAAATTACATAAATTAAAATTAAAATTTTGAATTTATTATCGTTTCTTAAAAAAGATTAATGAATCAATTAGGTTAAGTTTTAAATTTGTCATTGTACTTTGATAAGGTGATATATTCACGTAAGTTGTGTGGAAAAAGTTTTTTTTTTCTTAAATTCTTTTGAAATTCTTTTTTTTAATTAATATGACATGATCACATTAAAACTAAGGAAACATAGAAATATATGAAAACTAGATATGCACTTTCCACTATTGGTTTACGGTAACAGTACTTACGAAAGTCTGTCGAAATTGTGCGGAATTAACAGGTGAGATTGAGGATAACAAAAATACAACATCATCGCATTTGGACAAATAATTTTGGTCTACCGATGAATATTCACGGAAGTTTAACAAAATCGAACGATTCCTCCCAAGATCAATATTGAAATTTTAAAAGATTAAAAAATTAAATAACCATTACCTCCACAGAATATTAAAATAAAAAGGGTAACAATCATATGCAGCTCGATGACTTTGACGTATAAAAAAAAAATAGAGTTAGAAAGAAAATTGGGGCAAAACAATACTTGGTTTATTGCAAAAAAGAAAAACTAACATCATCGCATCAAGACAAATAATTTTGGTTATCGAGTGAAAATTCACAAAAATCACCAAAATCAAACGATTGCTTGTGCGATCATTATTGAAATTATAAAAGATGAAACAATTAATATATTAATAAACATCATCTAGACGTAAATTTTAAACAGAAAAAACAACTGTAGCACCGATGACTTTGATATAGAAAACGAGAAAAGAGTATGTAAGAAAATGGAAGCAACTCAATTATTGGTCTACTGCCAAAAAAAAAAAAAAACTATTATCTCACATATGTAGACGAATAATTTTGGTTTATCGAGTGAACACTTGCGAAAGCCATCAAAATCGAACGATTCTACTTTGAAATTGTAAAAGATGAAAAAAAAATTATACTAAAACATCATATCAACACAATTTAAAACAGATAAGGTAACAATCATCTGTATGCAAAAATAAAGGAAAACAATTCTTGGTTTATGCCATGACAATCAGAAAGTTCACAAAAAGTCTATATGGTGTTAAAATTTCAGCCACAAGGGCATCCATGGCTTTGCCAGATTGAGACCAACAATGATAAAATATATTAGACGTTATTATATTTAAAAAAATAACAAAACCAACTGTAATAATAATAATAATAATAATGTTATTTGATAATTAATTCAAAAATATATAATCAAATTTATTTATCAATTTTGAATTAACAATTTTAGTGGTTTAAGTTGTTTTGGTTTGACCTACCATTTCTTATCTTTTCTTCTTCCCCCACCTACCTCTTCGTTTCATCCCTCTCTTTTCTTTCTCTCGGTCCCCTTTCTCTCCCTTTCTTCTCCTCTCACCATCGAAACCTCTTTCTCAGTCCAACTCCAATTTGGGCTTGATTTTGGTTGGTGGGTTCAACGGTGGTAGTGGGATTTTTTTTTTTTTTTGGTTAGGGTTGAATTATGTATATTTGTATAATTTTTAGGACTTCGAAATTTATGAATATTTTCTTGGAGTGGAAAGGATGACTTCCACTTTCTTACAAGGTCTATATATCTCCATAGCTTCTCACATTGATGCTGAAGATTAAACACTAAAATGGGCTGTCCCCAACCACGTAAGAGATATGTTTCAAATATACTATTTCTCAAAAGTCACTTATATATCTAGAAATTCTAAGCCAGTTATTCAATTTTAACATTCAAACAAAGCTGAAAAGAATTGTCTAAAAGGGTTAATTCTCTCGTTCAAAACCAAAGATGGCATAAACTTTCTGAGGGATGTACATAGTGCTCTATGATCCCACTTACCAAAAGAAACTAGCCAACCAAGACATGAATTATATATGCTAACAACCAATAAAAAATTAAAAATTAAAAAAAAAAAGGAAAAGGAAAAAGCAGGTGTGGATTCATAGATCAGGATGGTTCAACCAAAGGATGGAAACCTAATCAGGCAGGCTCAAGAAACTTCATTTTCCAAAACTAGACAAGAAAATAAGAAAAATTGCTTTTAGGAAAGAATTCGAAACAGAGAGAGAAATACTCCTGCCTTTCTGTTGTGATTATCCTTTGATCAGGATGGTTCATCCAAAGAAGCGTACGTCGTGTTATTCTTCCTATCCTAATGGCTTGCTAGTTGTAAGGAGGAAGAAATAACATATGTAATTTAGACAACGGAAATATCAAGCATGAAGTGCGCTGCCGAAACAACTTTTATCATTACATATATATAGTTGCTTAACTATTTTGAAAAATTAAGCTTGCCGCTTTCATTAGGTAAGGGGTATCGGAACAAAGCAAAGGATATTCCCTAAAAAAATTGAAATTGTAATAAAATATAGCAAGGATATTCCTAAGCAAAGGATATCCATAATATTGCACAAAAAAACAAAAAAGGATATCCATAACAATATTCTCTATTAATGGAGTAATAAAATTTGACATGCAATATTAAAAGAAAATATTACTCTTAAATATAGTGGCGGAGCCAAGATTTCAATTAAGTGGAGGCTAAATACATATAAGAGTATACAACCATTTACATACAAATTATATTATAAAAAATTATGATTTGTTTACCAATATTTGTAAAATTTCAATTTTTGATCACTCAGCCTTCCTTTAGAGGTTAAGGTTAGCTGGTGTGACTTTCATAGGTGATTGCATTCTCCACATAACATTACCAATTCATATGCCATGGCATGTGGCATTAAAAATCTTTACCTAAAATATAGATATTATAAGAAAGATAAAATACATTTAGAGAAATTCTATTTTACTTATCCAATTTTAAACAATTACAAATTAGTTATTACCATTTGTAAATTATTAATACTTTAATGGGAGAGCCCACAAAAACTTGCTATTCGGGCTCAAAGCGTGGCCCAAGCATTGCATTACACCTAGGCCCTGGCCCACTCCACCTGATAGAGTCGAAATTTTTAGAAACTGAACCGTGCCATGATCAGTAGAACATAATTTTATCAAAGTAATAATAGCAATTTTTAAAATAATAATTGTAGATATTTGTTCAAAATTTTCGAGGCCTCCCCTAACTTCAAAATAAATTAACAATAAATCCAATTTTATAATTTAGGATGAGGGCATTTTATGACCGTGTAATATAC